CTCAATCTATCTTTCATCAATAACATAGGTCATATCATCATCTTTACAAATAATTACCATGTTAATCTTAACAATCATTATCAAAACAGCATCTTGACTCCCCTGCCCTTTATTCATTGAATGAAGGCTGGTGTCTCATTGCTACCCAGTAGATTAAGGAGTTCTCCAGTCAGATCTCACAGCTAGCTCTTTAACTGACTTCCATATGCCCCAGAGCTTGGCGTTGCTGCAAATGTTATTCTTTAGGATAATTGGTCAACTGAACAGTCTTCCAACTTCCATTCGAAAATGGGCCATTAACTTAATAGATGTAGTAAAACAATAGTTAAAAATCTGAGTCTTTTCTATAAACCTAAAACCTAATGGTGTTTTTATGACTCTGAATGGCTGGGAGTGGAAATAGAGAACAAAAAAGAACTGCCTCTGCTCAGTTACATGTTCCCATAAAGAGACAGAAGACAATTTCTCAGCTATTTTATGATCTTTTAGTTGCAACCAAAAACTGCATGTCTGGACATCTCCATCTTTTTTACTTAGGCTTAGTTCCAGAATAGAACTTTCAGGTCAGAATGGGTTGTGCTCATGACCCTGACCCCTTTTGATTGTTTTGTCACATTTTGCTACTCTTCTGGCAGAGAACCTCCAGTTACCAAAATTTGAATTAAATCCTATTACAGGGGCATAGCATTGCATAGATAAAATGACTTCTACGATTTTTGTTTAATTTATTTGCAACTTGCAAAACTGACTTGAATTACTTCATAAAGTACAGAAAAATGAAAAGTGGCAATGCTCTATGGCTGCTGTCTTATCATTTATTTTTCATGAGCAGGCCTGGTGGTGGGTGGGCCATGTTGTTGTCTCGATTGTGATACATTGACTAATCAGAGTTGACTTGCCATCCGATCAGCACCTTCCTTCTGACAGCATAAGTTGGTGTGATTGAAATTTGAAATTCTTGTGTTTTTCCTGATGAGCACAAGATGAAGAACTTTGGCAATATGTCTCTCTCTTCTGGAATATTATTGTTTATTTATGTCCCATGATGCACCAAAAACAGTTATGTGTTGTTATGAGACAACAAGGTGCAGGGCTGGATGAACACAGCAGGCCAAGCAGCATCATACGAGCAGAGAGGCTGACGTTTCGGGCCTAGACCCTTCATCAGAAAAGGGGGAGGGGAAGGGGGTTTTGAAATAAATAGGGAGAGAGTGGGAGGCGGATAGAAGAGGGATAGAGGAGAGGATAGGTGGAGAGGAGGCGGAGGCGGCGGAAAAACTGCTCTATGTCCAAGCGTGAGCGGTCTAAGGAAGGTGATGTGGCTGTAGTACCTGGTTTGCTTCAGGACGTGGTCGAGCAGTTTCAGGGCCGAAGAGATTACGAGAGAGTTGCAGTGGGAGAGAGATCCCTTGAGGTTTGTCCGGAGGGAGGAGGGTAACTTCTTCAGGTTAGGCATCCTTAGAAGTTGTTATGATCTCCTTTGAAACCGAAAGCATGAAAGAACTGACTTTTCCAAACAACTTTAATGGAAAACCCAAAAGCCAGGAATTCACTTTTTAAAACTTTTACTGTACCAATCAAACCCAAATCAACATAATTTAAACATTAATGAACAGCAAAGTTGTGGCAAGTATAAATTGCACATTAAATGACACAGACAATACTTGCAAATTTACTCAGCAATCCACTTGTCATTAATAACTGTCCCAAAGGTCATTTTAACCTGCACGTCTTTCTCACAAACAATTTAAATGCCTCTTTCTTTCCAGAAAGTAACAGGAAACTAGCATTGCAAAGCTCCATGGGTATGGTCTTCACCAAAACAGCATGCATTTACAGAACTTTGCCAACTCTACTCAGAGTGGTTTTGATGGCATGGATCCATTAATAGGATCTTCAAGGAACTGAAACAGAAGCAGCAACTGTGGATTTGTCTGCTTACCGAGCCTGAATCCAATCTCTGTCGCGATAAGCGTGCTTGTATTGTATGACCATCTGAGCTCAGATGGTTGTGTCCTTTTATCTAGTTTCAATTAGTTACAGTTCCCAGATGTTTTGGTTAGCAATTTTAGTTTCAGTCTTAATTTCTCTAGAAACCCAGAGTTTCCATTTCTTTTTCAGTTTTGTCAGTTAAGGTGTGTCTCAAAAATTACAAGCTTTGAAACCACGAATTCCGTTAGACTGTCCTGTCATAAAATTGTTTTGAAGGTGGAAATAAGAAAAAAAGTTATAAAAGAAAAGCACATTCAAAGTTTTATTTTCATTTCTGGATCATTCAACCTTTTTGTTTTGTGTCTTTCTCTTGAATGATAGCCCAACCTGGAAGTTCCCCTCGAAGTCATTCACCAAATGTACTTGGAAACATATTCCTGTTTCCTGAAGCTGTTCCTTCACTTTTGTTGGGTCAAAATCCTGGAACTCTCTCCCCAGTGGCATTGTGGCTGTACCTACACTAAATGGACTGCATCAATTCAACCAGACAGTTCACAATTACTTCAACAGCACTTAGGGATGAGCAATAAATGCTGCCCCAGGCACTGAACCCCACATTCCCTAAACAAATTAAAATAAAATGATTTTCCTTGCTCCAGTCCATGAAAATCTCTTTATCATTACTTATCTTCCTAAACAAGATTTTCACAAAGAAAATGAAGTAAAGATTTCCAACAGTCCTTCAGCCTCATTTATTTAAAAAAAAGTGTAATGTTTCTAAATGCCCACTTTTTATTAATATTAAACCATTTTATTAAATGTAATTGTATCTTAACTGTTCTACTCAATTAGAAATAATGTAGAAAAGCAATATGTTTTTCCCAATAGGAAATTTTTACTTAATTGGATTTGTGTATTATTGCAATCTTCTACAATCCCAATGAAAGGCTGCTAGTTGATGACACAAAACCTGATGAATACATGTAATAATTTTACACCAGTGTGGTTTTAAATTACCTTCATCCATCATAGCATTCTTATATCTGTTATACTGGCAACTAATACAGTCAGCAATGATATTTGAAAACAATTAATACTGTTAGAACAACCGATGAATTACCCCACAGGAAAGAGGAGAGTGGATGACTCTAATGAGGAAGCTAGGGCTTGCAAATGTAGTTAGATAAAACTTGTACTGGCCAAAGTTATGGCAGCCTATATATTTTTTAAAATACATATTTAATAACTAAATGGGCGACATGTATACTGTATGAAGGAGGGAAACCAGATGAAGACAAATTTAAAAGGGCTGCTGGGATATTAGTTGCATGACACAGAAAGGACCTGAAACTCTGTAGACTTATTTTCATTGAAACAACGTAAAATGGACCTTAGAATATAATAATATGGATCCTATAGGTATTCCCCAACACATGCTCTCCTAATGGAAAAATGAATTGTGAGCCCACCAACTCAGAAGCTGCCTAACCTGCCATGATATTACACCAGGAAGTGCCTTAGTTAATTCAGTGTGGTTCAGACTATGGAGTCTGTGAAGAAGTCCTGACCTAGAAATCTGGTTGACAGTTAGCCTTGTAGTCAGCCAATATTGGGCAGTGGATGCTGCTGAGACTATAGCAATGAAATGAAAATGCATTCAGTCATCCAAGATCTGTCCTCAGCTACACTCCACAGACTCAGCAATTTTTATTCCCAGTTTTGTTGCTTGCTCTCAAACATGAAAATATTAGAAATAGAGACAGGACATATGTAGGCCATATGGCCCTTGAGCCTCCTCCAACATTCAGATATATCATGGCTGATCATTTATTATATTCTTTTACACGACGTGGATATCGTTGACTCGGCCAGCATTAATAAGCACATTACTAATTGCCCTTGTGAATACAGTGCTGAACCACTATCTTAGATCAGTGCAGTCCATGTGGCATTCAGTTTGGCCTTACCTCCACTTTCCTCCCTGTTTCTCATAAAACTTGACTCGCTCGTAGATCAGAAATCAGTCTGCCTTAGCCTCGAATATATTCAATGACTCAGATTCCTCTGCTGCCTTGGGTGGAGAATTCTGATGATTCATGACCCAGTGCGTGAAGAAACTCCTCCTCATCTCCATCTTAAATGGGCAACCTCCTGCTCTGAAAATAGGTTCTCTAGTTCCAGTAACTCTGGACCCAAGAGGGATAACATTCATTCACTATCTACCTAATCAAGCGCCCTCCAAATCATACATCTTTCAGTAAGTCAAGCTCACATTTTTCTAAACTCCAAGATGTGATAAGTTCAACAGAAGACAGTCACTTACCCCATGGATGAAGGCCATATAGAATAGCCTAACACTGCAGGATGTTTCTGTCACCTGTAACCAGATGGTCACAGAGTAGCATTAGCAAATGTTGGGGAGTTTGCTTGACTGCACTCACGTTAGGACTTGATGGATTGCACAGAGGAGCCACAATGTGAAAAATAGCAATGAGTTATGAAAGTATTTATTAATTCTTCTATGATGTATTCTTTTGTTTGCTGGTAATCTATTATAAAACCAAAGATGTTGGTACCATACAACACAACAAGTGTGAGTACTTTCTCATTGTACATCTGACAGTGCATCTGATCATTAACATGAAACAACAATTTGGAAACTCAATATGGAGCCAACTTGACTATTTGAAAATGTCTTTGTTTGTCAAGACCACTTGAAAAAGTGCATTGTAGTCCCATTTCAAGTACTTACGGTATACCAAACTCAACAGTAGTTGGGCACCGAGCTAGCAAAATCAAGAAAAGATTGAGACAGAGAACAGAGTTCTTATGTGATCCAAATGGAGGACAAAAAAAGTGGAACAGCAAAGGTCACAAAGAGGTCAAGAAAAGAGTGAATGCATTGAGAACAAGATCAGATACAAAATTCAAAATTTATCATTGGTATGAATTTTTTCTGCATTGAACTTTAAACAAGTCTTTTTGAAAGGAGATCTTCACTTATGAAATTTATTTAGCTTTCAGGAGGAATGTGGTGAAGGAAAATTAACTGCTTCCCCCTTCTTTAGGTCCCAATAAAAAATCTGATCAGAAACAGCAAAGAACCCCCAGGCGAACACAGCCACCAAAGACATTAAATACACCTGAAGACAGCACCTACTACAACCTCATTCACGTAAGTCACAGCAGTGCATTGTGTCATGTTTATTGTAACTATTTTACAGAAACGTAATTCAGCATATCTCCTGGTGCTAACTGTTCGCCTTAAACTTTTTAACTTGACTCCTTATTTTCTGCACTTGCCTTTTATCCTTTTCATATTTTTCAAGTCTTCTTTTTCATATATTTATACATTTCTTTTAAATCATGTTTTGGTTCTCCCAGCTGTAGTGAGCAAACCTTAATGAAAGCTCCCTTTCATCCTCTTCCATTTATCACATAATAATCTGATTCTTTGGGGATGAAATTCGACATGATAGCAACCAGTTTTTGGATGCAGTTATGTCCTTAGATTCCATATGATACACCTGTACATTTCTGATGCAGAGCATTGAATGCCATGTTGTGAAAGGGTTTACTGAAGGAATACTTAATGTCCAATGGAAGTATGCAAACTGATCTTGGCATCAGTCATTGTGCCATTTTGAAGCTCCTTATTTCAGCTAATTGCCTCTCTTAATCTCACACAACTGGACATATATTAAGTAGCATGTATACGATATAAATAGATTAACAACTAATTACAAGTTACTCAATTCAGTTCTTCTGGCTGTTGATACAGTTGTATAGATTTCTGCAGCTTTGCATAGCTCTTCCAAGTTTCAAAAATCTAAGGAAGTGAAGTGCATTTTACTGACTCGAAATCAATAGAGAAATTTATTCCTGCAGACATTAGTGAATCAATGGACCTTCTTCTTGAAGTTAAGCATTACTGAGAGAAGGAGCAGGGGTCACACTGAGTGGGACGATCTGCTCTAAGAAGGAAGAAGGGAGAAATGATGTTTCAACATCTACAGTTCTGTAAGGGGGTTTTATTGAAATTTCCCAACTGCAGCAGTAATAACTTGACCCATACAGCATGCCTAGAATGCCATTGGCAATGGCTATGTAAGTAAATGTGCCGATAAATATTTGTGTTTAGTTCCTTCAATGCAGTGCTCGACATATTATAGCAAATCTTGCTGTTTTCAGGTGCGCCTATTGCTGAAGGAAGGTCAATGAGATGGCCGGAGAGAAGCAGGAGGAGTAAGTGTGAGGGCTTGAAAGGACTTCAGGCTTTGAAATGAACCAAGAATTTTTTGATGTAAATCCATTAACCTTCTTCTGAAGTCTGGTCTGAAGAGGAAATAATATAAGAATATAAGAAAGAGAAGCAAGAGTAGACCATTACCAGCCTTTTCTTTCACCTCTGGGGGCAAGAAAAAGAGCAGGGAATGCATTGAAAAACACATGCTGAGATTGTGTGTCAATGTTCTGATGCCTGTGGAAAACATTGGAATGCTCAAAGCAAGGGAGGAGAAATGAACTAGGGAGCCCATTCACCTCTTATTAATTAAGTGTTGGAATATCGTTAGGAGCTTGAGGCATTCAAGAACTGAACACAAGCCAAACTGTAAAAAATGTATTGCCTATAAATCACATAGAGAAGCATAATTTTACTAATGCTTTTTTCTACCAGGTCTCAGTTCCATGTGATATGACATCATCATGACATAGATCCTTACACACATGCTCAGTCGCTATTATTAGGATGTTGATAGAGTCACCCCTTTACTGTAAGCTTCAAGAGGTGTGTGTTATTGGGCAAGGGAGAGCCAAAAGAATCACCAAACCTGACTATTCTGGCCCAAACTCATGCACAACTGCCAATTTCAGTGTGGGGAGAATGTAACCACTATTTTTGAAAATGGAATATTTTATTGACTGGGGAAGTGATGGGAGGAGCCATTCTGTGAGATTGGATAGTATATCTTAAGTCAACATTCAGTTAGCCGTTTGAAGTTTCTCTGCATGCAAAAGCATCCAGCCCTTTAGTGGTCTGTCTCCTTTCTTCTGCAATGCAGCAGCAGACCCCATCACAGCTGCCACGTGGTTTTAAGATCATATTTTTAGTCAGCGCCTGTATCCTGGTAATGCTTAGGATCACCAATTGTAAGCTATGTTTGTCACTGGCTGGCCCAGCTAGGCAATTTACATTTGAAGATAATATTACATGGATGACTTAGATGTAGCATAGGGTTAGCTCCCAAAAATTATCTATGCACTGAGTTCCCAAGCCTGAGTTGAAAGTCAAGCTCTGTACACTACATTTTCAATAAAACCAGAACTTGACTCTATATGACTGGTACAAAACATGAAATCAAAACATAAAAAAGCTCTGTACATTTATATGCCTGTGCTTCTGTATACTATTTCAAGACGAGCCACCTTCTCCCAGCCATTTTGCAGAACTGTAATAGATTAAATATGGTAAATATTTTAGTTGGTATTATTTTGTACATTAATTTAAAATTGTGTCCCCCACTGTGTTGTAAATGCACTATCTACTATCCATCACTAATATGGATACGTAAACTGTGAAGGACAATTTCCCAATAGGTAAGCATTCCCACCAAGATTATCAATCAGAAAATCCCTTGCAAAAATAATTTGAATGAGTCACTTCTGGATGTTAAGCTTTGACTGAAGACTCTGTTTCTGAAATGAGGAATAGCCCTTCAGAACATAAAATTCCCTCATCCTTTGTCTAGGGTGCGACAATGCAGAGTGACATTGGCCTCTGGTCATGAGATGACATCTAGGAGCTTAGGAGTGTACGTTGAACTTCTTAAAAGGATATCGCTCTTCAAGTGATAGTGAAACAGTTTGAACTAGAAGGCAACAATATTCCAGGACTCAGTAGCTCGCTTGATTGGCACCACATCTACAAACATCCTTCACCACCAATACTCCGTAGCAGCATGTGTACCATATACAAGATTCACTGCAGAAATTCACCAAAGATCCTCAGACAGCACCTTCCAAACCCATGACCATTACCATCTAGAAGGACAAGGGTATCAGATACATGGGAACACCTCCAGCTGCAAGTTCCCCTCGCAGCATCATCCTGATTTGGAAATATATTGCCATTTCTTTACTATCGCTGGGTCAGAATCTGGGAATTTGCTCCCTAACATCATTATGCATCTACCTTCAGCCCACAGACTGCAACAGCTCAAGAAGGCACCTCATCCTCACCTTGTCAAGGCAATTAGGGACAGGCAAAACATGCTGGCCCAGCTAGTGACATCAACATCCCATGAGTGAATAAAAACAATATTTTACGTTTAATAAGTTGATATTTTTGAGATGTCCTAGAAGTGCGGTGGTAGTATGCTTAACGAGAAGCATTCCTTCCAGAATTTGCTTACTCTTTACTCTAGAAAATAGATACTGAAGAAACCAAGATTACTTGCAATAAGAAGTGTTTATTTTCCTAGGTTTGAGCCTAGCTGCACATGATTACTGCTGCAAATAGCACAAAATTAGTTAAGTTAGAAAAGACATTTCTGAAGCAAAACACAAACCCCCTGCCAATCTCCCCGCCCCCATCCCACCCATCACCACCAAATGAATAGAGGCGAATTATGTAGTTTTGCTTTCAAATATGCATTGTGACATATTGAATGCTGCCAGGCGATCTAGCAGTGAGTGCAACAAAATCACCTCTTGGTTCAAATGCAGTGAAATTCATTAGACTGCAAAAGTTAAAATAGATAGAAAGCTGGAATTGTAAATTATTTTTATGTACACCATTGCAATTTCAGGACTAATATTACTCAGAGTAAATTTCCCTGTGAACATGACTGCCGACCAAGATCAAAATAAATAGACTTTGATCTTTATAGGCTTTGATCCTTCTCTTAATGACTTTGCAGAAATTATATAGATTTGGCAGGCCTGCAAATGAAATATGGAAAACAGAGACTTGCTTTATTTTGTTCTGACTACCAATGCTTCTATATTTCTGAGAATAAAAGATGATAAGTCCACATGGAGCAGATTTTTGGCATTGTGGCATAAATATTATAATGGATGCCTGACTAATTGGTCTGCAAAAAGAAAATGTTTCAGGGTGAATCTGAAGCAGTTATTGGGATGAATGTCCCCCTCCCGAACTGTGCCTGCCATCCGTTGACAGGGAAAGTGCAACCGTTCTGTAACAAAAGCCAAAGCAGAAAATTTTGGAAATGCTCAGCAGATGCAGCAACATCTATGAGGAGAAACAGACTTCATGTGCTTGGCTTCTAAACCTCACTATCAAAGATTAAGTTGGAGTTGGAAAGCCACACTGACTGGGAAACAGTCAGTCGGAATTGTTTTTACTTAAGTGGCCCATTAATATTAGTCTGAATATCATTAATAGTGATGTCACTATCCAATTTGGGAGGTGGGGCTTTCAAAGCTGGACAGATAGTCAGAAAGCTTCCACTTGGAAGCAGCAGAACACCATGGTATTTAAAGTGCAGGAGAAGGTGTATCAATATAGATAGACCTGCTGCACCCCAGGCAACCCTTCCAGAAAATAGCCCAGGGTGGGAAGCAGCCAGCACACAGGCTGGCAGCATTTTTCTTAGGTTCTTCTTTCCAGAAAGTAGTGTGTGCTCCAGAGGTACCCCAATGTTTCAGACGAATGATCCTGCATCAAAACTGGGATAAATACTATAACGGTTCCATGAGCTTCTTCACCAGATTTCTCCTGTTTCACTCCACTGAGACTATACAGCATTTAACATTCAGGCGGTTAAGACAATACGCTACCTCCACATTGGTATAGGACTTCTGTCAATGACTCTTACAGTTATTTTGTTTTCAACAGAGGTCTGTGCAAGATGGCAAGAGAAGACCTCGGAAAGACAGGTATGTTCACTGTTTTCTTCAGTTTGAATTCTGGTTTTAATAAGGAAGTATTCCTTTTTCCTTTCTTTAGTGAAACTGTGAACCTGTAAACTATACTTGACTTCTGAAATTTGTTACGAGTAGCAAATGGAAAGCAGCTTTCCTCCAGGTCATCAAAACTTTGTTTTCTTTGTCAAATGGAACTGCAATTTCTTACCAAAGTGATACAAATAACAAGAATACATTTTCTTAAAGGGACAGTGTCAGGGTCAGTATTACATTCCTATGATACTCCAGAAACAATAGGTTTTCCAACTTGGCAATGTTGTCCGAGACAAGGTGTAAAGATGGGCTATACTTCCTTTTCAAGAGGGAGAGGACGCTGGGATGTGAGTCCCTCCAAGATTCTTTCACACATTATCTTGTAGTCAGCTAAGTGCAATACCTGGAAAGGTCAGATGGCTGCACAGAGGTAACAGTAAGATTAATTGATGACAGAAGATGGTATTTTTTGGAAGGAAGTTCACTTTCATTCAGTGAGTCTGCTGAGTTTAGTAAGCTTACAGAACTTGTCCATGATGACAGTGTCTAATAATATTTCATGAAAACTCATCTAAAATCTTAATGTGGATGTTGAAATTCATCATATTGAAAACAATAAGGTTCAGGAAGATTTTCACCACATCTTTCAAATTACCATTGAAAAATGAATTAATGATGACCTTTCTATCTTGTGGCCTTGCATAATTTCAAGAAGTGGAAAAACAAATCTGTAAAATTCTGCAGCCCTTCCCCAAAGCATGATTGTTTGATTCTGATCATTTTGATTTTCAATACATGGAGCGAAGCAATTTATTTCTGGTTTAAAACAATCCACGGTGGGTAAGCAGACATCAGTCTCCTACCAAAAAACTAACTCTGCTTTGAATACGTTGAATGATACAGCCTGCACTACTTTCTGCAGAAGACTGTTTCACAGAACAGTAACTCACTGACAGAAAAAAAATCTCCTCATCCCCATCTTAAAAGGGAGGCCTCTTATTCTTAAATTGTATCCCATAGTTCTAATGTCTCCGTACAAGAGTATCTTAGTATCTGCCATGTTTCAATAAGATCACCTATCATATTTCTAAACTCCAATCAGTGTAGTCCCATCGTGCCCAGTCTATCCTCAAAATATAACCATTTCATCCCAGGAATGAGTTGAGTGGACCTTCTATGAACTGCTTCTAACAAAATTATATCCCTAATCAGGAGGCCAGAACTGTATAGACTACTCCAGATATGGTCTCACCAAGGTCCTGTACATCTGCGGTAGAACATCCCTATCATTATATTCCATGCTCTTTGCAATAAACACTAGAATACCATTTTCATCGATCTTCTCAGTAAGAAAAACTAATATCATTCAAAAAATACAAGCAATCAAGGAAGAAAAGGGAAGAGGAAATAAACACAATAGCAATTACTAGAGAAAAAGTCCCGGGAAAACTAATGAAAAAATGCGAACACGTCCCATAGATCTAATGGATTTCATTCTTAGATTTCTAGATTTAGATTTTGATTGTCACATGTGGTCTAGTTCATAAGTGCAGGATTACAGTGAAACGTGTATAATGTTGCCACACAAGGCACCATATTAGGTACAAGCACCTAGGTACAGAATCATAAAAACAAGGTAGAAAGAAAGAAAAAACAAAGTTAAAATTAAACATTACAGTTAATCTTAGTATTAAGTAGAAAAATAAAGAAACAAAGGTAAAAGTCAAACACTACAGTCTTTCAAAAGTACTAGCATATTAAAGGAATCAGCTACAGAGATAATGGTTGCACTGGTAGTAATTTGAGAATCCTTAGATTTTGAAAAGTTCTAGAGGAATGGAAACCTATCATAGTAACAAACACCCTTATTTTAAAAAAGGAAGAAGACTAAAAAGGTTAACTATAGACAGCTTAATGCTGTCATTGGGAAAGTGTTACGATTCTGTTAAATAAGATATAATAGCATTGCATTTAGAATTACATAATATAACAAAACAGTCAGTATGGCTTCATAAAGAAATCAAGCCTATAAAAATTGCTAGACTTCTTTGAGAAGGGAACAAGTGGGATAGATAAAGGGGAAGCAGTGGATGTAACATATTTTTATTTTCAGAAGGCGTTTGATGAGTACCACACATTAGGCTAATTAATAAGAGTCCATGGTGTTGGGGCAGTATATTAATATGAATATGGCTAACTAATAGAAGAAGAAGGTGGAATCTTATCAGGGCCTGACTGATATGAGCTCTGGTGGGATGTGTTTCAGAATCAAGCGACAAGTGTGACGAGGCCTTTGTTGATGTTGAAATCACCTTACCTCATATGGCAGCATCTAAAAGCCCTCACAGCACATCTTTGACTCACTTACAGAATGCTTCTGCACTTCATTGCTGCACCTTGGGTTATACTGGCAACTCTTATTGTAATGCTGCAGCAAAGACACTGTGAGCTCGGGGACATGTACCCAGCTCATGGGCTGGACCAGGCTGTGCATTGGGGCTTTTTGCTCGCTGTCATAGTGCTCATTCACTCTGGGCCTACCTGGATGTTCACAGCATTCAGGCCTTGCATTGCCTTGCTTTGTCTTTTTCCACTTTGCACCCTCAACCAGAAATATGAGACACGTGTTACTGCTGTCTTGCCTTACCATTTAGCACAGATACAAAAGCAGGAAGCTGAGTATTATTAAAACACAAAGAGCCAGCATGCAAGTTCAGCAAGTAATTGGGAGGGCAAACTGAATGTTGACTATTATTCCAAAATGAATGACTTATAAAAATAATGAAGTTTTTCTAAAACTATATAAGGCACTATCAGACCACGCCTTGAATACTGTGAATACATTTTGTCCCCTGAGCTAAGGAAAGGGATTTAGAATTTGAGATTGTCCAGAGAAGATTCACTAGATTGATCCTGGGTATGGAGGGATTTTCTTATAAGGAGAGGTTGAGTAGGTTGGGTTTGTATTCATTGGAGTTTAGGAGAATGAGAGAAGACCTTATTGAAACATTCTGAAAACCATTTTTAATGATCATCTGATGCAATTCAGCCTATTGCAGGAAGGGATAATCCAATCCTTATTTGTTAAGACTTGCACATGCAGACTTGCAGTTTCAGAGTAGTGCCTGAGATCAGTCTGTGGTTTGAGAATGAGCGTTTCTGTTAAAGTGGAGGGAAGTAGGAAAAAGAAATTGATAAATACTTGTGTTAAGGAGAACAGTTATCGTTCTAAAGAACACATTTGTTGATAGCTAATTAATTATCAACAATCTACTGAACTTTCAAAAGCCATCAAAGTCACCAAAGAGCCCAAAAAGCTGATGGTGACAGATGAAAACATCCAGTTAAATTGAGAACAATCCTCTAAACAAAATTCTGTGCTTCTAGGCTACTCAGTTTATTTTCTTTTGACAAAAGGTACCATCTTTTTAATTGTGTCCATTAAATTGACCGCCACTATTTCAAGTACCCAGAGTGCAACGGACCCTTGTTTTGGGAAGTGGGTTTGTGAGCCTGCTCCTGACAACAAGCAAACAAGACTTCAATTTCAGTAGAGGCAGAGTTAATTGATGAGCGTAACGGAATGGTAACCAATTATTCTTGTGGTAGAGATGGAGGGAATAGAACTGGGACATCAGGGAAAAGAACCTGATTCTGTGCATAAAAAATGAAAGCCTCTGAATCCTCAAGTAGTTCAGTGTAGATGGCGAACTGAAAACCAGGATAGGATAGGGAATTATTAGTGTTACTGAAAATGAATTACCATGAGAGAGATTTTCTTCAAAATGTTCACTTTTTTCAATTAAGAAAGCATATCCAATGATGCTGACCTTATCCAAGACAGTCTGGAGCTGTTCAAATTTATGCAGCTCCCAAAGATAACCTGCCCTGTGAAAATTTCGTGATCTTGGAAGACAAACCTATAAGGAGCTGCTTAATTACCATTTTGCATGCAATTAATTCTGTACTTTACTTACCAAACATTTTCTTTCCAGTCCTCTCTTGCTTCCTTACCACCCTGTTAAAATTTGACAAGGTCAGAAACTGAAGTGGGACACCATGATGCACAGAATTGGTGCCTTTTTTTTGGTCACCAACCTCCACGACAGCTCAGTTTCACACATGAAAATCCAGTCTCCAGTGTTAGCATCAAGCATTTCTAAACCATATATCATAGTTAGGTACAGAGTAAAACTTTCCCTTGATTTAACTGATGATATGTCAAAGCTCTAACTCAGAAGAGCATCTTGCACAGCACCAGCACATGGACTCATCTAGGTCATATGAAGTGTCCACCATTCCCTGTGCCACATTCTGCATGACCAAGCTTCCTTACCATACCTTAAGCTTACTTTTGGTTTAATTTAACTTGTTTTAGTCTAATTTTGAAGAATTTACTCTAAACTGGAGATTAGTAGAAAGTAGAAATTCCCTAACCTTACCACAAATTAGCTCCTTTCCTTTACCTATAAATTCTTCTTTTCTTGATGCTAGTTTAGAAAGTTCCATTTTTCAAAATTGCTGGAGTTGAAATGTAGGCCCTAACAGCAGCTCCTCAACAACTGATCACAATTCATGACTTTCCTGTGATGCTACTGTTGACATGTTTCTCTGTTGCTGCATGTTCTGGAGCTTCCAGCCTATCTGCCTCCGTTCCAGGTGGTAAGTGTCATTGATCCTGCTCCTCAGACTACATTTATGCTTTTGCCCGCTTAACTTTTCTCTCACAGGGCCACATTTCTGCTTCTGTTCCCAAAGGTAAGTTCTGTGGGCCTCTCTCCTCTGGCTACATTTATGCTGCTCCCCAGTTGGTGTTTCTCTTGCAGGTCAAGCCATCTGGCCCTGTTCCTGAATGTAATCCATGATGTATTATTGAATAATAATGCGATTCAAATTGGCCATCTATTATGTCCCCCAACCATACTTCATTTATTTAATCTATTGGGATGTATAGCAAGTAGCTGGCTCATGGGCACTCATTTTCCAACCCATCCAAAATTGATTCAAGCACATTGTCATTCCAGATTTATGATTCAAATGACAAGCCTTGGGTAAAATCTTAAAATGTTAGTTCATTCTTATAGGTCCAGATTTAATTGATCGCCGCACTAACTCAAATGTGTACATTACTGTTTCCTTAAGAAATTGCAAGATGCAGTGAATGAGTGACATTGGGTCGGGTACTATAACTGAGTTAATATACTCATTGTTTTCTCTTAGCCAAGTCAAGTTGCTGGATGCAGATGATCGTTACTACAAACAAATTACACCCAGTGATTCACTCTCCAAGGAGAATCATGTTGAAGCAACAGGGAGAATGCCACCTGCACAAGCCAGGTCCACAACACCCAACCATTCCAACAGGTAGATCTCCAGGGTAGTGAAATTCCTCGAGCTGTAAAGATATAAAATCCATTTAAAATGTCCATTAATGAGAAAACAAGACTCAAGTCAACATCTCCTACATTAACACAATTTTCTCTGGGCCTCGGAACCTTGGGATGTTTTATTTCCTTCAGTTTTACCTTACCCTTCCAAACAAATGGATTCTAACATCCAAATACAAGTGTTTATTTTAATTCAGTTCACTCAGTGGAAAGGGTTCAGTAGTGGGGGTAAAATCATTCTGCACCACTTACTGCTGAGTTGCCACTTTTCCCCAAGCCCACACAAGACTTCCTCTGGGCATTCTAAGCACCTTCCCTAATTTCAGGAAGAAGGCTCATTAATGTATGCAAATTGAAATCATGTTGAAAAACACAGGACCACAATATGGTTAAATAAGATAACTGGATGGTGGAAGAAGGAAACCTCAAGTACTTAAGTGAATTAAATGTTTTGGTGAGACCAGGAAAAAAAAGTAGAAGTAATCCCCTGAACGTGGCAAGAATAATTGCATCTATGGGCTCTGACTCCCTCCTGCTACCACAACCAGCCCTCAAAGACCTCCCCTCATCTGATCTTTTCCCCTATCATTCCAGGGTATTCCTTCGTCCTTCCTGAGTTAACCACGGGAACAGCAGATATTTGACTAGCTCAAAGTCAATAAGCTGTAGCATGATTCCTGGTAGGCAGTTCATTATTGGCATGGTAATGAGGCATAGCCCTTAAGATGGTGTGAGACCTGCTTACACTGATAGGCAGCGGTTCTGCCCTTTGCTTGCCTGTTTATTGCCTGAGGTTAAAATCCACCCCTATTAGTGGCAATTAATTAATGCTGCTTGATTCATTTTGGGTAAGCAGAATTTTGTCTGAATAGAACAGTGTTCTGTTTTGGTAAATTATGACAATGAGCTTCTTAATCTTGATCATTAAAAAGAACTGTTATCATACTGTCAGTGAGTAGAAAACTTGCTTGAATAGGTACATTGTGAAACTTTGCTTTTATGTGAATTTACTTCAGTCAGAAAAGTAGATTTCAGAACAACTGACAACTTCAATCATAATGCATATACTTGAGTGGCAAAATTTCTTGACATGATACAGCATTAAAGTTTACCTGATATATTTTATGTGACTATAATGGATTTCTTTGAATTCATAGACTCGTTAAAACTATTTTTGCTGTAACAGCAACAGTAATGTAATTGGTGCCTGACAGTTTGAAATATTTGAAGGCTATTCTGGCCAGTTTTATGATGATCTTATAGACCTAAACCATGTTCAAATTACTTTTGGTTGAATCAGTTAAATGCAAATTTCCTTACCTTTTCAAAAGGACCGTTGTAGTGATAGCTATTGCATTGCATCTGTCAAAAAGCATCCTGAGACAGTGACACCCCATGCTCTATTCTTCACTGAATATGCGATTTGAAGCAAACATGAAAAGCCTAAATTATGGAAAGTTGTGGTAGGGCCCCAGAATATTATTTCTTTTATTTTTTTAATCTTGTCCTGCTATTACTTTCTTAAAGATGTATTTGTCAACCAAAACAAATTCACTGGAATAATGTTAACTTTTATCACGTGGATAATTGGCTGCCGACTTGCCATTGCCTTTTTTTTAAATCTGAGCATGCAGATCAAAATCGTGGGTGCTTCAGTTACCAATATTAGTAGGTAAATACATAGCATATTTCAATGGCAGCCCTTGGCCTCCAATTTTAATACAGTTATTAATCCATTTATTTATCTTAAAAGAGTTGAGGGCTGTATTAAAACAGCAGGCTAAGAAACTCCTAACACTACACTCATTGTTTGCCCACTAATATTATTTCTAAGTTCTGATAACTCCAATTTATCTTTGTAACAGCTAGGTAAAAAAAGAATGAGTGTAACTTTCCAGTTATATTCAGACAGTACATTCTGTACATTTTAATTTAAGGAAATAATAAAGTGTTTTAATTCTTCCCAAAGAAAATAATATGCTCTCAAAACTCTCTTTCGTTATCAGTAAATTGTACTTGACAATCTGTAGATTTCTGTACTGTCTATGGTATCTTGGCAATATGTATATTTTCTATACTGTGTTAAACTTTTATGTTCATGCAAGAGCTAATAATCGTAGAAAATTGAGTCTATTTTATAATAGGGCACGGGAAAAAGTGTTATTCTACCCAACAGAAAATAGAGGCTTTCAATTGAAATTATCTTGATGTCGATCACAAAAGTGTTGATAACGCATTTACACGGCTGCACACAGGAGGCCCACTAAAACGTGATAGCTTGTTCCAAATATTTAATGCAAGTGTAATTGAGTATATGGCTAGAAAAACGATAAGCCCAAACTCATATCTGTCTTGGAGTTTTCATTAGCCTTGCAGATGTAGAAGTGCTGATATCAATAATTAAGAAAGTTGTAAAAATATAAACAGTAAATGTATGTGTTAATTTAAAGCACACACATATGAGAATCAACTGGATTGTTATCTAGGCAGATGCTTGTCAAGTTATTAATTGTAGACAGCCAACTAATCCCATAATCTGAAGCAGAAACAGGTTCTACTATGCTTTGTGCTTGACAGCAAAAGTGCCACAGCTGCAGAAGTGGAGGAATAGGCAAAATGCCCATTTCTTACTAAGCTGCAGTTCTGCAGTCTTCTGCATTTATGTACTAATTTGCTTAACCTGCTTAATGCCTAACCTCATTTATGCCTTGGATTTGATGCAAAAATATTAAACACCTGCCACAACATTTTGGCTGATTAACCTCAGTTTGCTTACTCTTCCTTTAACACACAATCAGAATGGGGTGAGAGGGGGAGTTCTGTGGTTAATGGAGCTCTAAAAATGGAACAGACTTTGTGACATCATTCTCAATCAACTAACATTTTCACATTTATGATATTTTTATTGTTATTTTTAAAGAAAACATCTGGTACCTTTTCTTACTGCTTTACCTCTTGCTTACAATGTTTCTTATTGAATTTTGCATTTCATGGTCAAGATGATACAAGGTGAAAGAAAACAAACTGACCATATTTACTGATCTTGGCACAACTACCAGCCAAAGGTAGAGACTATCGATGTCCCAGTCAGCTCCGGGTCAACAGGGAGTCATGTGCAGTTTTTGTTATCTGTAGTAAGGATAGTGCAACATGGGGAAGGCACAGTCATCTCTGAAGCTCCTTCACAGCAAGCATTTCAATATCAATTCACATGCTGCTCGATTATAATAGGAGATGGTAGGGTAATGGGAATGTCATTGAAGGGGACATTGAGTCATGTGTGGGTCTGCATTATATTAAACTATACGTCACTAACAATGAAGAGAAACTGTTATTTATATAGACCACAATCCTTTGATTTGTTTTGGAGTAATGAAATAATCCAGAAGCCCAGACTAATGCTCCATGAGCAGGGGTTCAAATCCCACTGGGCAGTTGTGAAGTTTAAATTTAATTCATTCATAAATCTGGAATTGAAATCTAGTCTCAGTAATGGAAATCGTGATAATCATTGATTGGTATATTATGGTCCAAGTTGAAGCTACAGCTGAAGTCTCAGATCCCAGATTGAAATTTGGCTTGATGAATCAGATTACATTTAAAGATGGCAGACTTTCATTTAAACATGAGCACACTTTGCCACAGATTTAACTTTAACAATAAAATAGAAGTTTAAGACACACATGAAATGAAAATAAAATAAAGCAACCCATCTGACTCTAACATAGTTCAAAAGATTTCATAACAACCTACAAAAGAAAGTCCTATCTACACCTGACATCATCTAGTTACT